GGGTCTCTTTCGAGATTAGGGTTTGGAGTCGCCACCAATCATCTACGAGGTGTGATTGGTCACCTATTTAAAAAAAAAACTTGGTCTACGAAAACAAAATTTTGGTTCGGGAGTCGGTTGAGCGTAGGGAAGGTGTTAGCACCCTACGACACCCGTTTGAAAACGGTACCATAGTTTGTCGAAAATTATCCTATTATGCTTGGTCCAAAAGGAAAAAAATACTTTTGTGTTTGATTTTAAATGTCACAAATTTATTGGTTCATATTTTGCGATAAAATATGAACCAACAAGCATGAGTGGCGCAAAGACCATTAGAAAAACAAATTATCACCTCAAGAATATTGGAAAGTCCCAATTTCCGTCATTGGAGCTTCCGAAATAATCATTTAAAAAAGTGATTAAAAAAATGAAATAAAATTTAATTTGAGGCCCACAAGGATTCAAACTTCAGCCATGAGTATTATTACCCAAGTGTCTTTCCAATGTGCCAACACCTTAAGATGCAACTTAAAATTCTTTTTTATAATTCAAACATTTTATTTTTGAATTTTGTTTTAAAAAAATTAAACGAAAATCCTTTATTTAGAAAGAAGAAAAAAAAATTAAAATGATTATTTGGTAAAAACAATGAAATAAAAGATGAAATAAAGTAAAATAAATAAATAAATAATCATTATAGATGTCAACATCCAATGCTTTTGCCACTATGTCATACACTAAGATATGTAATTAAGGGTCTTTTTAAATAACAAAGTTATCTTCGAAATTTGTATTAATATATATATATATATATATTAACCAAAAGTAAAAAAAAAATTTATTTTAGGGATTTGAAATTCGTTTAATTTTTATTTATATATATAAAAAAATCATATAACCAAACTTATTTAAAATAAACTCCTATTCAATTTTTTCAAAACCTTATTTAATAATGATTTCATTTTAAAAAGCAAATAGTACTTTGTATTTTTAAAAGCAAAATTTGTTTCCTCTTAAACTTTCCTAATAACTTTACTTTCAAAGAAAACTTTTTTCCAACTTAGTTAAAATAAACTCTTATTCGATTTTGTTTCAAAACCTTTTATAAAAATTTTGGTTTGGTTTACTAGTAAAAGAAAAAACAAACAAACATTTTCCAAAATCATTTTTGTTTATTAACAAAATAAAAAATAAAAAAACACCTCCTTTACTCACTTAAGCTAACTCAATCACCAGAATAGAGGTCGCAGAAGTTCTGGTTGTCGCTACACCAGGATGGGTAGCTGGAGTTTGTATTCTTCCTGCCAGGTCGAGCTATGTCGTTGCTGGAAGTCCCGTTGTGTCAGTCACTGCAAGTTGGAGACAATGGCTAGAAAGAAACCCAACGCCACCAAAATGTCCACCTCAGAGTGAGCCTTCAGCAGCTCATCCTTCATGGTGGAGGAAGCAGCCTCCAAGGCAGCAGAGAACTCCTCTTTCTCCCTCGCTGCCAGAGCTTCCCTTCCATCCAGCTCGGCCTTTACAGCTAGAGCCGATTGAATGGAAGCAATGAACGCCTGAGGAAAAACACCAAGAAGAAAATTAGACCGAGCTGCCTGTTAGGTAAATTGAGCAAAAATGAAGACACCAATCTTACCTCAGCGGCGTAGTCGATGGTC